TCATATTCAGAAACGTTGCAGGTACCTCTGAGCAAGTGGTCAGACTCCCTAAAGAATGTTGTAGTAAATCCATAAATTTAATTTGGCTAGTTATAATTACTATAAAAACCGCCAGTACCGAAAGGGTTCCAAAACCTTTCAACGATGTTTTCGGCAACAATTTAAATCTCTCAATACTCCTTATACGACTAGACTACCATGCGTCTCCATCGATTTATAGCGACTGTGCTAATTAGTCCCAGTAATAATTTTCCACATGAGAAAACACGCGTTCGAACGATTTTGAATCATAACCCGATCAAATTCGGTTAACACAATGAAAGCAAATCGATATTAAAGTTTTCAGTTCTTATCTTAATCAAAACCAATTTTGCTTTCAATTGTCGGTACATAAGTCTGATAGCATATTGTTTCTTTATTATTTTTTCAAGAGTTTTTTAAATCTCTTTTCCTTTATTTAACGTCGATCTCTGTTCCGCAATCTAGTGCCAATCACCGACGGACATCGATTGCCATCCATTGACGGCAACCGAATGTGCAGGAAGGCAGCTTGCTTCCACACCTGCCACTATGGGGCATTTTCATACAACCAGGCGGTCAAAAATATTTCTATCATTTTTTCACAATTTCTGCTATTATTCTTGCTTTGTTTCATCAATATAAGGTGTGCGTTATCACTTTTCAACATTTTCACGACCATCTTTTGAAACGGGCCTAACTTTTGATTAATTAAAATTTAATTTTTACGATTTTATAGTTTCAAGCTTGTTTTCAGAGAATAAAATCTATTGAACAAAGACAACCTACCATGGTTTTATTGGGGGGAACACCGTAAAAAATAAAATAAAAACCTTTTTTTTTTTGGAAATATGTTTATTTTTTTCAACAAATCTTCTGTAAAAAAATTCAAAAAGCCATGATACAATAATCAAAATCAAATATGTTTCAACGAATTTCTTTTTATTCCTCTGTTACAATATCATCATGAACAAATTCTTCTTCAATTTCATCGACTGCTTTCATAAGTTCCTCCAAAGCATTGAAGTTATTAGTATCGACTACTGAATCACTTACAGAATTTTCAAATATCATGAAACTTTTCACGATGTCGGGATAATCCAGGGATACTTTTTTCTGTCGTCTTTTCGCCATCCAAATGGAACTGATCAGTGGGTCCGATTCATTAATGGCACGAATAAAGACATCATGTAAATTTTCTACTCTTGATCGTTTTCTTGCATGATGGGTTCGATATATTTTCAATTGTTTATGTTGACTTTCTGCTGCCTCTTCCGCTAATGAACCAAGTGGTGCTGGTGAATGTATGATTATTTCTCCGGCATGAGTGAGAACTTTATGCACGGTAGTAGGAATTTTGTACCAATCATATTATTTAAGATAGAGCCTATATGTTTCCTTGCAATATGCATCAAATTTTTCCGGGTTTATTGGCTCTTGGCAGTTAATAGCAATTAATATATTCCGGAATCTGAAAATTAACTCTTCATTAATGTTCAGCACGGAGCTTAAAAGCTTGGGATTTCCAAATGCTCTTCGACAAACGGTTCCTGTAGTACTGGTACCTGCTCCACCCGATCGTGGTTGATCTACTCTTATTCCAAATTTTTCGTAAAGCTGTGTCGTCACATGTTTTTTTCTTTGTTCATATAGTTCTTTGAACGGTTTCGTTACCTTCCATTTTTTGATATCCATATATGCAATATGCAAAAGACATTCGAAAAATCTTATCCAAGCATGAAGTGGAGATATGCCGTAATGCAAGGCTTCTTCGTTTGATATAAATCCTTCCTCGAATTTCTCTGCATCATTCATTACATTTGGTGTTGCCCAACATATTGGACAATTCTGCATCGACGAATTTCCAGTGATATAAGTTAAGACTTTTCCGTCTATCATACTGAGGACAAAATCAAAATCAATAAGTATAAACGTGTCGTTTGGGAGTTCAATTTTCACTGGCGTTAGTTGACTCATTTCTTTTTCTACATCCTGTTTTGTAGCCAGAATAACTTCTTTACTCTCTTTAATGAATTCAAGGATGAATGGCCTACAAAATCGAATACTTTGAGGCATGGGATTAAACCACATAATTTCCTTTCGATCATTGTACATGAACAACTGAATTGGTGTTAAAGTGGACGAAAATACATCTGAATCGTCCTGACATCCTTCTGGTTGCGAATATCCAGTTGATCCGTCCATACCCCAGCTACATAGCAGAACCAGTTCCGTAGAAACTAGATCGTTGCTATCCATATACTCGTTGAGCTCTGCATCAATTATTTGGACGATTCGTTTCACTGTATTTTCATCAGCGCCTGGAGTTTCACTCTTATTTTCAATGCACTTTCTTCGATGAATTCACTAGGAGGGGCGCATATTTTTTTCACTGCTCCGATCACATAGTAAGGTGGAAATCTTGAAGGTGATTCACTATGTATTACTTCGTATTGAAATCTACTCAATCCAGCCTCGATAAGTACACTAAAAGCCTCTTCTGGTGACATCATTCCTCGTTGATCAGTTAGTTGAGCCAGCATGGTTTTAGAGCTTTTTTGGTTTTTCAAAATATGCCCAATAACTTTAACTAAATTAAAATCCTTTCGATTATAAGCGGTCCGTCTTGCAAATAACAAAGCTTTCTCGATGGCATCGAATTTTGAATCAACTGCTTCTTTATCGATGACGCGACGTTTTCCTCTTTCACTCAAATCCAAGAAAGGTTTTGAAGGTCATCCACGTTTTGTTCCCGAGGCCGAGGTTGAGGCAACACATTGCTCCTGTTCGATGAATTCCTCGATGCCAAATTCTCCATCAAGCCAATTCCGAAAATACGACTCAAATCGCTCTTTCGTGCGATTAGCTTCATGCCATTTGTTGATGTAACGATTTTATGGATCTTTTCATCGAGACGTTTACGTTTTTCCACCGAGATGTTATAATTTTCACAAATGAATTCAATGGCTCTGTGAACATTGTCACTATGGCTTAATTTTGCGTCTAATAGATCAATAATGGTTCTATTATCCATGCTCACACTTGGTCTCAACCGTAAATTTGAATTACACTGTAGTAGTTTAAATAAAAGCTACACAAAATACACTATGGCTTCAAATTGACACTACAGTAGGATAAGTACAGACTTAGGTATAAATTAAACTCATCCGCGCATATGCGTAGGTACATACTTACGCATATGCTTCTATAATCGTCATAACCCAGGTACTTACTTTAGAATAAAGCATAAACGAATGTAGTTTTACGTTCATCCAACAGTGAACTTTATGATAATGATGACTTCTTTTTGTACAAAAGCTTAAGCCCTTTTTAAAAATTGTTCATGAAATATTATAAAATGTTCTTCAACAATATATTTCGACTATACCAACCGAATATAACTCCAAAATTTGCAAAATAATTGTTGAAAAAGTTTGTTTCCAAGCCGGCTTTTGTACAATTTGAAATCTCCCATAATAACCGAAAATTTTCAAATCGCTTATATTTCCAATGGGCAGGTTGGGACAGGCAAACTCTTCAGTACTTGTTAAAGTACACTCAAAACTTCATCCAGAGCTGAGAATTAGCCTGGGAATGTGCGAGACTCGAAAGTTGGTGATCAATAAAGTTAAATTTTCATTAATTTTCAATTATTTTTTTTTTTCTAATTTTACATCAAATTTCCAAATGGATTTTCTTTTCGGAAAGTTTATTAAATTACCTTTCCAAAGATGTATAATGATGTGGTAGTTATATGATAAATAGTGGATGAAATTTTATTTGAGTGGTAGTGTATTTTTGCGGCAAAATTTGTACTTTTCTTACTCTTTTCTGACTTTGACATCCGATATCTCAGAAACTAAAACTGCTAGAAGCTTGAAACTTTCAGATTCTCTTAGTTGAAATGTTTACTATCGACCAAAAATAACGGAATAAGGATTAGTGAAAGTCGATTTTTTGATTTTTAACCGCCTGATATCTGATAGTGCCTGTGTAGGATATCGCACCCACTCAACACACATGGGCCGGGACCAACGGCTTTACTTCCCTTCCGAAGGAAGACGTGACCAGAGATTTTTATGCCTCAGAAAAATCCCACCGACCTCATCTGGGGATTGAACCCAGACCCATTGGGGTGTTAGAAAGCAGTCACGCTTACCACTACAACACCGGCGCCGGCTTGAGTTTTTTTTTTAAATGAAAGCAATAACTTCAAGTTTTGCTGTTAACGTCTTGTTGAAAATTCAATTTATGTTAATTTGTCGTTGTACTAACTATATTTGTTTTTTGTTTGTTTATTTAACACATTTTTGGTCAATCTTAAATATTATGAATGCAAAATGGGATTGGGATTAACTGGAAAAATAAGTTACATCATAACTTAAAATTTTGATTTTAATTTGATCTCCAGCTTTGCACGGGAAGCCCCACCCAATGTGTCAAGTGCTACAATATGGATATTTTTCAAGTGCTACAATATGGATATTCTTATTCTTTTTTTTTTATTATGGATACGCTGAATTCAGGTCGAAATTCATGAAGTTAATATGATAGAAGTGAGATATGAGTTGTTAAATGGGAGCAGTAAGCTGTGAAAAGTTAATAAATAAGAAGTGTAACGCGTAGAGTAAGCTGTGGAAATTGAGTGAGATCGATCTGAGTAGTAAGTATTATTATTAAAATTTAGCAAATATAAGAAAAGTGATGAAATCCGTTAAAATTTTATTAAGATATGAAAGTCGGCTGTACTTCATTTTGTATTTTTCTCAATCTTCCGCACATTGGAAACCAGAAGCTGAAAGTAAGTTTTGTCTGCTCAACAGAATTGATAAAAAAAAAAAATATCCAGAAATTTGGACTCCTAACTGCAACATATCCAAGGGATGATCTATGAAGCTCATTAACTGATGTCAGTATATCTAGGTGCCATTCAATTTATTGATATTATTGTATTACATAGCAATGAACGAGTAAACTCAAGCATCCATCTTCTCCGCCTTCACCCACAGTCCACCCTGGAGCGTCAAAACCGCACTGGCAGGGTCAAATATCGGGGTAGTCTCCATTCGTGCACCCAACGTAAAGCGGAAATTCTTCAGCAAAGTCGCCAATCCAATGCGAGTCTGCATCAGTCCGAAGCGCATCCCAATGCAGACACGAGGACCCTCTCCAAACGGAAGGAATGCCATCGGATGACGGGCTGCCACCTGGTCCGGGTTGAATCGATCTGGGTCGAACTTCATAGGGTCCGGATAAAATTCCGGATCGTGGTGGATGGCGAATGGGGAAATCATAACCGACGTACCCTTTCCAATGGTCAGCGACGATCCGGAAACATTATAGTCCTGAGTTGCGGTACGAAGAATGTTCGGTACAGGTGGGTATTTCCGAAGGCTTTCTGAAATTTGTAACTACTTTTATAGCAACGTTTTGATGACTAAGAAACTAGATCTAACCATTAATGCACTTTTCCAAGTATTTCATCTCATGAACTGCTTCATATGAAAGTGATCCATGCTTGCTAATACTATCGAGGACGTCCTTCCTTGCTTTGTCCTGGAGATTTTGATTCAGGGCAAGTTCATACAAACAGAACGACATCAGTGTCGAGGAGGTTTCAAACCCAGCAAAGAAGAAAACGAACGCCTGAGCAGCAACTTCTTTAACGGATAGCGTGCCCAACTGTTGATCCGTGCTGCCCTGTTCCAAAGCTTGTCCATTTTTCAGCTTTATCATCAAATCCATGAAATCATTCCGTTCGATTTTATTCTTCTCTCTGTACTCAATATTATCTGAGACAACTTTCAAAAAGAACTCCGAAACTTTCGGATTCAGCGTCACGGTTCTTAATGCAAGTGCCAGCGATTTAAACTGCTGAGTCAAAAGAAGCTTCACGAATCCAATTTTCCCAAAGTTGAATATTTCCCTGCCATATTTGCGAAACTCGGCATTGGGATCACGCAAACTGTTACACTCCAGTCCAAAAGCACAATTTCCAATCACATCCGTCGTGAAGCGTGCGAGAATATCTTTCAACTCAATCTCACCACCACCAGCAGTCTCCTTCACGATACATCGCTCCAATTCATCGGCACAGTCCCGAACAATCGGAAGCATCATTTTCATCTTACCCAACGTAAACGTGGGCGTTAGCTTGACGCGCATATTCTTCCACTTGATGCCTTCCATGCTGAAGAGATGGGCACTCAATGGATCATCCTTTTCGTTGACGTAAACCGAACGGTCGTGAAAGGAGTTGAAGTCCTTCACCAGAATGGTTTTGATAAAGTCGAGGTCCAGAGCGAGAACCACGGGGTTGATGAAGAAGTAGATTCCTCCGAACAGAGCATTTCCCTTCAGTTTGCAGTACAGCTTTTCTATGGCTACGGAGAAATGTTGTGTTTTACCTGTTCCCCCCAGGTTCCCGAGGGGGAAGGTGGGATTTACGTACGGCACTCCTCGCACTTTCCAATAGTTGAACCGTTGTTTGATGAACAGAAACACCAAGGTCACGACAGCGATTAGCAGTAATACAATCATCTTTATACGGAAAATTTAATGTTACGCGTAACGCAAACAAAACACCGGTCTGTTCGCTGCACCAGCTTGCAATCGAATACCGAATGAACCGGATTGAGTTCTGTATACTAGCTGCAAGTTGTTGGTTAATGTAGTGTTAGTAATTCTTCATGGAAGCGTAAGGAGTTAGGAATTGTGCACACAATTCTAGCTGTTATAAGTTCCACTTTAGAGACAACGTTTTCAACACAACGGTTATTTCGTTTGTACACACAAATAAGTGGTATGTGCTCGGCTGTGAGGAGATCTAGGTAGACAATGGAACACACTGAAGAAATTTTCAATAATGAATCAATACCCTCAATTTATTTGCTGGGCAGACAAGGATGAAGTGGCAAAATTCGGTGCCTTATCTTTTTTATTTTCTTTTTTTTTGTAACTTATGATTGATTGCGTAAAGTGCCTTTCCATTTTTCAGACGCTTATCAAGAAAGCAATTTTTGTTTGTAATCAAGAGATGGGATGGAAACACAATTCCAAGTGTATTCTATTGAATTTTATTTATAGGCAGAAAAGCTTAGCTGCGCATATGTTGAAAACAAAAATACCGCTGTAGTTTTTAAATTCCAGGAGTTGGAAGGGGTTGCATTAATTTAATAGCTAAGTAGAATTAGTAAGATTTGTTTGGTTGATTATTTTTAGTATAGCGTGTTTCATCGACGGCTGGCAAATGACTGGGATAATGCGTACCGTATCGCGTACTTGAAGGTCATAAAATAGAGTCGTCACGCAAGTGAAAGTAATCCTTAGCCTCTTGCCCAGTAACTCCTATCCCTTCCTCCCCGAGTAACCTTAGGGAAGATCGGGACACAACTCCGGTGGGAACTTTGGTCGTATGCTGACAAAGAAGGGGGAGCTGCATCCTTTTCGGAGGATGTGGCTTACAAAACCCGTGCGTCTCCATGTTCGGGGCGTATCAACAGCGTCTGACTGGCATCCAGCGGCTGAATACTTCCCGAAAGTTATACCCAAGATGGCAGTCCCATCACGGCGGAAAGGAGACCTTAGGCCAACCACCTACTGTCTCAGAAATCTTCAAATTGTTACAGAAACCTATAATGAAAGATTACGAACTGATTTTATGGCAACGACTTTTAGCGCTAAACAACGGACAAGAATCGGAACATGGAATGTACTGACGCTAGCCCAACAGGGTAAACTGACACAACTCGCCAGTGAGGCCCGCCGTATGAAGCTAGAAATCCTGGGACTTAGTGAAGTCCGCTGGCCGAACTGTGGAGAACACAAGCTGCCTTCGGGACAGGTACTTTCATATTCTGGTATGCGAGGTGAAAACGCTCCGCGACATCGTGGAGTTGGCTTTCTGCATAGTGCCCAAGCGCTAGGGGTCGATCGCATATCAGAAGAGATGCTCAAAGCTGACCCCATGCTAGCCTCACAAATGTTGCATCAACTATCTGTCAATATCTGGGACACCGCGACTTTTCCAGCCGACTGGATGCAGGGCATCTTAGTGAAGGTCCCAAAGAAGGGGGTTCCAACTGTATGCGACAACTGGCGAGGCATCATGTTACGGTGTATTGTTCTCAAAGTTCTGTGTAAAGTTATCCTCAATCGGATACAGGAGAAGATCGACGCGGCTCTCCGACGACAGCAGGCAGGATTCCGTGCTGGAAGATCCTGTGTGGACCATATTGTCACGCTCCACATCATCCAGGAGCAGGTCAATGAGTTCCAAGAGTCCCTGTACTTGGTATTCATTGACTCCAAAAAGCTTTTGATTGACTAAACCACGAAAACTTGTGGGGCGCTCTGAGATGCAAGGGAGTCCCTGATAAGATCCTGATCAACCTCATCGAAGCGCAGTACGAGGCTTTCACATGCAGAATGTCGCACAACGGAGCTTTGTCTGACCCGACAAAGGCACCCACGGATGTGAGGCAAGGATGTATATTATCACCGCTACTGTTCCTCATCGTAATCGACGAGATCATGGTTGGAGCCGTTGACCTTGTACCGAACCGTGGGTTGCTTTGGCAGCCTATTACCATGGAGCATCTCAACGACTTTGATTTGGCTGATGATGTTGCATTATTAGCACAACGGTGCTCTGACATGCAGAGTAAGCTCGACGACATTGCGAAACGCTCCTCTGAAGCAGGTCTAACCATCAACGTCAACAAGACCAAATCGTTGGATGTCAACACGGAAAACCGTTCCAATTTCATGGTAGCTAGGCAGGCAGTGGAGAAAGTCAAAAACTTCCAATATCTTGGCAGCCAGATATCGTCGGACGGCGGCATCAAGAGCGACATAGGTGCACGGATTAAGAAGGCGAGGGCTGCTTTTGCCAGTTTGCGAAATGTTTGGAGAGCGAATCAGATCTGTCGACGCACCAAAATCCAAATGTTTAACTCGAACGTGAAGTCTGTGCTATTATACGCCAGTGAAACATGGTGTGTATCAGCGGAGAACTCTCAGGAGCTGCAGGTGTTTATCAACCGATGTCTGCGGTACATAATTCGTGCCTGGTGGCCCCACAATTGGATCGCAAATTCCGAGCTTCATCGTTTGTGTCATCAGAAGCCGGTAGAGACAGAAATTCGTGAACGGAAGTGGAAACGAAATCTGCAAGCAAGCACTGGACTGGAATCCAGCAGGACATCCCAGCAGAGGCAGACCCAGAGGCTCGTGGCGGCGGAGCCTAAACAGTGAAATTAAGAACGTTGACCGAAATTTGACTTGAGCACAGGTCAAGGCCAAAACTAGTAATCGCCCAGGATGGAAATCTTTCACAAAGGCCCTTTGCATTCCTGGAGGTGCGCAGGATCTTTTTTTTTTCTTTTTTTTTGTGATTTTTAGCCGTAGGCTAGTTCATCACATTTGATAGTAGAAGGTCAGGCTTAGGGCCTACCTTCAAGGAAACGTTTCAGTCTAACATTAACGTAACGTAAAACTGGCTCTGAGACAACATTTAAAAAAAAAAAAACTTAATGTAAAATGGGAGTTACATCGGGACTGTGGTGAGGAATGCATGCGCGAACAAGGTAGAGCTCCACCGTAAGAGACAGTGCCCCAGTCCGGCAGAGATACCCCGACGGCAGGAAAATAGGAAGGTGAAAGAACAAGGACAGCGCAGCCAACGACGAGAGTGCTAGATTTGGTTGTACAGGTGGGCGTCCTTCAAGAAAGCAATCAGCGTAGCCAGCGTCGAGGGGTCGTTGCCAAGTAGCTCCCTGATGTTCTCTGGGAGTCGGTGTTGTTCGCGTAGCCTCTGAAACTCTGGACAGACACACAGCACGTGTTCCACCGAGGCAAGGATGCTGCAGATTGGACAAACCTTGTGGAAGGGTGTCCCACCAAAATTGTGGGAAATCCTCGCATGGCCGGTCCGGAGTCTTGAAATGATCCGTTGGTCCTTGTACTTGTGGCTGTCTAGCCAGGGTCGAACGGTTTCTTTGATCTTTCTCAGGAAAGTGGTCCGCGACTGAAACCATTCCTCCTGCCAGGCTTCCATGATAATATTCGCGATCCAACGTTTGACGTCTAGGAGTGGTACGTTCCTGGTGAAGCGAGGACCAGATGGACCGGATCCCGCCAGCCTGTCCGCAGCCTCATTTCCAGGAACACTGCAGTGCCCGGGAATCCACGTAAAAACGGTTGAGGATGGGGCATATCGTGTAATGGCTTGTATCCAGGGGTGGCTTGGGGCTTCGGCTTCCAGCGCCTGGATGACGCTGTGTGAGTCCGTTAGCACAAGGATCGGTTGATCTGCGGAAAAAACGGAACACTCCTCCGGTAAACTTTGACTTGTTGCGGAGTTTGGTTCTGCCCCTCCGAGTCCCACTCCAGCCCGTGATCGCGATCCGTCTGTAAAGCGATGAACGTGCCCCGGATAGACCGACCCAAGAAGTGCGCAGGATCGTTAAGTGAGTAAGTAAGTTTTTCATCGACAGTACCTGTTTGGATTTGCTTAAGGTGATTTCGATGGAACTAATTGTATACTTTCATCTCCTCATCTATCGTATAACAATTACCACTTTAGTCTATTATTTGAAATTAGCATCTTCAACTATGTAAATCGTTGACTTCACGCAGAAGTAATACTCAACATATAGTCAAAGAATTCAATTAAATGTTATATTAATACGTGCAAACTCGCTCGGTTTTTCTCAATTTGTTTACATTTTGCTAGTTTTGCACTAATCACAATTTGCTCCGGAATTGATGAATGAATCATTTCCCTAATAAGAAACTCCAAAACAACACGCATATTACATCATTTCTGTTTGCGAACAAATACACTTGGATTGGTGTGAGCGTGCGTTGCTTAATACCAGTAAAATGTTCGTGTCGTTGAGACATTGATCGCCCATTCATAAACACGAATAGTGACCGCAGTTCACTCGTGATCATTCTGGGCGTCTTGAGAATTCATCCACCCGTAAACTGTTATACATAAAGCCAAAGTTACATGTTGAGTTGTGGGATGTTCTTGACTTTTTAAAATCAGTACCGCTCAACATCCCAATCGAACAACACGTGTCGAACGCTAGCAAGTGCCAAAACAGCCAATTTAACCGCCCAATGCCAACATGTGGATTTACCTGTTTCTGTTGATAGTCTCGCTTTCTTTTCTACTCGTACGGAGAAGATACTCGTACTGGAAGCGACAAGGTGTGCCATTCATTCCCGCACGGTTCCCGGTCGGAAGTTTCGATGGTGTTGGAATCCATGCCCACCCCTCACAGTTGCTGACCAAATTCTACAAGCAAAGCAAAGGATCACACCCATTCGTTGGAGTGTACTACTTTCTGCAACCGGTGGTTGAGGTCTTGGATTTGGACTTGGTGAAAACCATTCTCATTCGAGACTTCCAGTACTTCCACGATCGTGGTTTGTATCACAACGAAAAGGATGATCCCATCTCGGGAAATCTACTGAACCTCGAGGGAATCCGATGGACCAATCAGCGCAAGAAACTGATCCCGACTTTTTCCTCCGGGAAGCTACGAATTATGTGCCCTACGATTGTGAACGTAGCGAAAAATTTGACAGTGA